AAGCTACCACGCTGTGATGACTTTTAAGACAAGAGACAGACACTACAGCACTGTAAGAAGGCAAAACATGGAAAGTAACCCCAAATTAGTTTGATCTGAACATAAGAGTGTAATTATGACAGGCACAATTTTTTCTCCTATGACCTGTGAAAGCTTCAGTTTTACAACTAATGGCACAGGGAAACAAAGCAGGGCAAAATACCATGGTATGTTCTAATGTATGTAAATACCAAGAAGATTCAAAATTCCTGAGATTTTGGGGCTTTTTAAGCAGCTCTGAAAACTGCCCATCCAAGCTCTGTAGTGCAGAGGTACTTGCAGTGCTAGGTGCCACAGTTGTCTGTCTGTTGCAATTATATAGTTGGCCTGATTAGGACCTGGTGGGGCTCCAAGTCATTTGGAGCCTTCCAGTGGCTAAAGATAAACAGTTTGGATTAATCCAGTCTTGATGAAGTACGCCTGTAAGTGATCTTACCATTATTTCTGTGTATTCTGTTAGCTTTGAGTCTTCAATCTGCTTATTTGCTTTCTGTAATAAATCTTTCAAGAAGCTCTGTTAAAAAAAATAGAAGAGTAAATAGGTGAATTTTTATCTACAGTATAAAATGCTTGACTTGCTAACTTCAGATTACACTAATGGGAAATACTATTTTACTCACACTTTAGTATTTACTGCTGAAGTTCCAAATAAGTATGAAAAGTAGTAATTGTCAGCTAAGAATGTAACAGTTTCTTTTGATCAGTTCAAGTATATTGCACAGTTTTATTTGGAAAAAGTGACTCATAAAGCTTTCTGCATTGTATGCCATTTGTGGTATTGTGAATTCGGGAAAAAATAGTTTGGCTTTCAAGTATACTGTTTCTTAATCAGCTCTATTAGTAAACTAAACTAATTAACCTTGAGCCTCCTTGAAATCTTGGATGCCTAATCACTTCTTGCAACATAGGAACAATTTCACAGAAAAGTTCAATGATTAATCGAGTTTTCTCCTTGCCTATGGCAGTACCTGATGCTAGAAGTGAACGTTAACCTATGTTGCTCCCTCCTACCTTGTGTTTTAAATGTGTGCAGCCGGTTTTCATTGCATTTTTTTGAATGAGAATTTGCTATAGTATCACATGACTTGAAACACCAGCCATTTTGACTTTAAAAAATAAGATTGTTTCCACTCATTCAGTGGTTTAAATTTCTGTACTAGATCTGTGACATTTTAAAAAAAGATACAAATTTATTTAACAAGGGCATTGCAAGACCTGAGAAGTCAATGTTCACTGAAGTACCTAATTGCTGTCATCAGTTGGAGTGTCATTATCTTTGTGGAATTTTGAGCCACATTTCGAAATAGAAAAAGGAGTAGGTCATAAGAAAATCTATTTGTACATAAATGGTATTCTTGAACTTGAATGCAACCACATCCATAGTCAAATGACTAATACCCCCTATAGTTCTTCTAGTATGATTCCCTTTGTACTGGAAGGCCTTCCTGGTAGCTTGTATATAAAGGACATGACTGAAATGTTGTAAATGGATGTAACAGAAACATGTTTAATCTTGTGTGCTTTGATGGAAAATAGAACTGGAAAGGACATTGAAAGGCTATCCAGTCTCCATATCTCAAGAAAGGATTGTCTATATCTAAACTTCCTGAGTTACTGTCTGAGCGGAGCTGTTGCCAAACCTTTCCTAGATACAGACAGTAATGGAGAGCGCCTCCCCCTTACACAAAGTATTCCACTGTCGTTACTATTGTTAGAAAGTTTTCCCGATTTCCAGCTTAAATTTCTCTTAAAAAGTTTTAAGTGGGTGTATTCCTCACACAGCAAATGCTTGAAGTGTTTGGGCTTGTCGATAAATACTGATCTAAAAATAAAACTGGACATTTATGTCTTATTTTCAACATGTTAAAATGGCCTGTTTCTCTGAGGCAGACAAAATCTCGCAGCACAAGAGAGATGGGACCATTAGGGATCCAGTTAAAATGTCTTCATTCTTCAGCTGGTCCTCAATCAGCCCTGCCTTTTTAAGTCTATTTTAAATTATAGCAGCTGGCAACACTCCTTAAGGCATCATCTAACATGTGGAGAGTTCTTAAGTGCTATGTGAATGGCCTCCTCCTGATCCTACTGACTTTAGGTAAGCCAGCCTGCTGTGACCAGCCAGCAGAAGAATGGGCTCTTCTGCCTGAGGGTTACCTTGAGGTAGGATCCTTGGCAAATGTCACACAGATACAAAATTCAAAGAAAGAAGAAGGGAAAAGGGAAAAAGATGTGAATGCTCTGATGTGGATTCCTCTTCTGAACAGAAGAGCTGTAGGGTTTTCAGACAGTTTGATCTCCCAATGCTTTAGTTAAACAAGCTTATGTAGTTTTTCTTTAGAATACAACATATGGGCAAAATAGTCCAAATTAGATGGATAAACATTGCTAGGTCTTTCTCTTCCTGTGAATTGTTTTGATTACTCTAACTTTAAATTCAGGGGAATGTATCAAGTGCAATTGAATTGTGGAAAACATCACATTTCTACTCAGAGGCTGTTGTATATGAGCATCTCTCCTATGAGGAAAGGCTGAGAGAGCTGGGCCTCTTCAGCCTGAAGAAGAGAGGGTGCAGGGGGACCTTATCAACTTATATAAATACTTCAAGGGAGGGCAAAGAGGATGGAGCCAGGCTGATGCCCAGTGACTGGACCAGAGGCAACGGGCAAAAGCTGAAACATGGGAGGTTCCCTCTGAATGTCAGGAAACACTTTTTTACTGTGAGAGTGACCAAGAGGTTGCCCAGGGAGGTTGTGGAGTCTTCATCCTTGGAGATACTCAAAAGCTGTCTGGACATAATCCTGGGCAACTGGCTCTAGGTGGCCATGCTTGAGCAGTGGGTTCAGACCAGGTGACCTCCAGAGGTCCCTTCCAAATACTCTGTGATTCTGTCACTCTGTGATTCAGCATCTACAAATTGCAGTTAGTTTTGTGACTAGGGAGGTAAATTACTCTAGTTTTAAGGTTTGTTAACTCTGCAAGGCTGAGATGGCTAATGGAATAATCTTGATTCTGCTCTTATTTGTGCATATTAAAGCTGATACCAAAACCTCACCAAGTTAACTGAGCAAGGGCAACACAATTCCATTTGTGGTAGCCTAACAGTATTACAGTGGAAACTGTATGGTTACATAATGCTTGAGACAGCATGATCTGTCCAGCAGCATAGTGATTAATGGTAGTGATGCCCTTAGGAAAAAGACCAATAAAACAGCCCTCCTCCCTAATATACCAAAAAAAGAACAACATAGCTTTCAGAGGCCTATCTTGCTTTTAAAATCTTTCTTACTTCTAGGCTAAAATACTTGATAACCTGAGTCACTTGAGACAAATGTTGATCTGAATTAAAACATGTTTTAAAAAACAGTGATCAGATTAATTTAATGATGATAAAAACCATCAGCTAATCCTATTGCTTTTTGGTCATGTTTGAAATGCAAAAACATGCATGGGTGGGGATCTGAAGAAACGGATAGCAGGACAGACTGTAACCTAACACCTGTTCTCATGTCGTGCATACTCATAGATAGCAGTTTACCTTAAGTTCCTCAGAATCAATGAAGCCACTGTGGTCGCTGTCATATTTTCTCCATGTCTACAATCAGAAAGTGAATGCTTTAATGATGTATTATGGCAAGCGGGTCTTGGATGATTTTATAAAAGGCAACTTTTTTCATACCTGCATGAAGTCTTCACTTGACTTTAGCTGCTGGCATCTGAAGAACAACAGGAAATTCTCCTCCGTTGGTAATATCTGAGCAAGCTGTAACAGAATTTAAGAAAGACTAAATTTTGATTCTTCATTAGCCCAGCTGGGCATGTACAAGAAGCATGAAACTTTTAAAAAGAATACAAAATTCTTTGTGCTCGTACTGCCCTATTGTGGCCCCATAGGAAGCTTCATCCTGTTAGGTGAAATGTTTGGAAGGTTCCTCTGAAAGGCTTCTGACTTGCAGCTTTGCCATATTCATCAAGGTCAGACAGAACTGAGGTCTGAGAGAAGGGGATGAGACAGCACTTTACCGAAGGGGTAACTGGGGAAAGAGGGGAAAAAATTCACCCATTTAGAGTTAGGATCTGGGACAAAAACCTTGGAATCAGCACAAAGGGAAAGCAAAGAGCAAGTATATTAAGAGGATAAGTGTGAAGGACCATGAATTAAGAAAGCGAGGAAAATAAACTACTCATAGATACCGAGGAAGAGGAACACTGGCATGAAGAAGATGTGTAAGGTAAACAGAAAAGTATATGGAAAAGCCAGAAGAAAAAAACGTGGGGAGGGTAAGGGGATGGCAACCGGTGATCATTTGTCAGGCACCGAGATGTGTTCAAGAAGAGCTATAAATACCAGAAAGAAATCAAAAGGGCTTTTAGTCCTGCAAAATCAGGGGTGGTTCTTCCAATGCCTCTGCTCTACAAAAGGCTTTTTTAAAATCAGACATTATTATACTGATTATTGAAAATGTTCATTTACTGTAACTCAATTTTGGCAAGTGACAAACGTATAAGATGGAGAGTATGCTGTATAATTTAATGTAAAATCATGATTTGTTTTTAACAAAAGCTCAATATTTTTTTCTGTCCTCAAAATGTACGAAATGTGTTTTGATTAAAGAAAACTTTTTACTTGAAGAATAGACCAGCTGTGCTTACTAGGAAGAGAAAATGGAGAAAGACAGATTTCTTAGCTGCATTCTTTTATGAAAAATGACATCTGCAGACTTCCTGGATCCCCATCTTAAAATTTTGATGCAGATTTTTGATTTTCTGCATTCATTTCACACCCCCAAATCCCTCGTTCTATCTAGTTCAGTGCTATTGCCTAATTGCTCAGGCTTTTTTATTGGGTTCCAGCAGTGCCATAGATGAGCTCAGCTCTCCCTCTCACCCTACAGGCACAACAAGGGTATGCAGACAAATCTCTTGTTTCTCTAAAATTATCTGTGCAAGGAATTAGTTATATTATTTAAGTGTAGGTACAACTGAAAAGACACATCAGAGCACTTTCCTTACAGAAATGGTGCAGCTGATGGCAGGCTGTCAGGCCCATCAGAGCATTCTGAGTGAGTTTGCTAAATGGCTGAACAGCAAACCAAATCAACTTAAACAATGTGGTTTTGTCATCAGCTTCAAAAACCATTCCTTTATAAATAGTGTATACTGTCCTAGGTTACAGTGTAAAATGTG